GAGAGAGAGAGAGATTGCACATTGTGTTAATGGGTTTAATGTTTCATATAAGCACTACGCGCTTACTGTTTTTATGTCTACACAAAATACACTTCCGGATTCAAGTTTAAATGGTAAATGGTAAACTGATTGTGTACTTTCCTCATTAAATTGTGTTAGCTTCCATAATGACGAACTATTACATTCAACTAGATAGTTTATCTGCTTAAGATATCTTACGTATATTCTATAAAAACAATTCTTGTTATATATTAAATGAATTATAAATATAATATATAATGACGATAATTAAAACTGATAAGATAATATGAATAGAAAAAAAAAGTAGAAAGAAAAAGTATAAACTTGATTATGAATAGAACATATTGCATTTCTATCAGATATTTGAATAAAGTGACGATAGCGATTATTAAAAATTGTAAAAATTATATCTATCAGAAAGACGCGATGGCAAGCGATGAGCAAAGATTTTATGTCGACTGGGAACAAAGTGTATTATTTAAAGATTGGAATATTTGAAAATTCTGTTGCAAAAAGAATTGAAATTTTTGATCACAGATTGATTTTGATCAGTAATGAGTCTTCTGATATTACACACATACACACACCCAGTTCGCGAATACACATCTTAAACTATATAATTAGATTAGAAAAATTGAATAATAAATCTGATAAAATTAATTCTATCTTCATTTAAAAAAAAAATTATAAAATTGTCTTTTAAATAATTGTGTTAAAAGGCTATCTCTTAATTATGTAATTATGTATTGATCAAAGCACTATATAAACATGAGATTTAGCATAGTGTTTTTATTTTTATTTTTTTTTATTATTTTGTAAGCAACAAAGGACTTTTTAATGCTTTTTCTTTTTTAAAGATACTTTGATGAAAAGACGACACGCTAACATCAGTTAAAGCGTGTTCTATCATCTCTTTTTGCTCCACTACTTCCTACTATACACGCTATTATGGATCTGACAATCTTGTTCCCCGATTTCTTGTTCTCTCCTACATCCTTCTTTCTCACCCATTCAACCAAAGATGCGACGTGAGGCCCTCCCAACCGACGATATTGCCATTGGATTTTTCTGACCGGTGACAAATGGAAGAGCGACAAGCACCACGCGACCGGAAAGACGAAGAGACGGAATCATCGCGGTTTAATCTTTTAATGCGATTAGATTCTTTGGCTATTAGCTTTGGCGCTTCTTTGGCTATTAACAAGGACGAATGGAGAGCACGATTTGTCTTCTTCACTGTTAGCCGCTTATCTTTATTTCAGGCAGCTTGATTGCTAAGAAAATAATACATTTCATCTTGCATCGAAACGAGATTTCATTAGAAATGAGTATCTCAGAAAAAAATCGAATGTTCTTTCAATCCCAAATTTCATGGCAAAGTTAGAATTGATTTTTCTTTGACAAAAATAATTGATGAGGACAAAATAAACTTACAAAATATTTCATTAAATTTTTGTAATATTCTATACGTGATTATGAAATAATTAAAATAGAAATTATCCAATATAGTGAAGAAAACAGCACCACTGCAATAGTGCTGTTAACACATTTAATGTGTTACATCGATGATGTGCAATAAAATTAAAGAACTCTCCGGTCGAATTTTTTCGTAACTTTCTATAATCGTAATTTAAATAGAACTCATTTTGCGTATGTGACTTTGTGTATACGTATGTCATGTATTTTACGACTTACTTATGCGAGTAATAGAAATTATTATATATCCAAATAGAGATAACATCAAAAAGGAATTAAACTGTAGCAAAATCTAGTCATTAATTTTAAGTTCTGTTTCTGACATATACTACATCTGGAACGCGAGCACTTATAAAACGTTTTGCAAAGTTTACAGTATCCTCCGTATCCGAAGTATCTGCATTTGTTAGGGAAAGTACGCAAGAAAATAGAGAAGGAGAGAGTTGGACGGAACATATTCAGGAAGGAAGTAGTGTTCTCACTCTTGTCTTTTAATGCGATTAGTTTAGTAGCTTCGCAACAACGTGCAAGGGAGTATAAGCTACCGTTTACAATGGAATTGCAATTATCTTTAATAAGTGACAATGTGTTTATATGGCTTGTTTATATGGATTATATCGCAAAAGCAAAAAAATTTTATTTACTCTGTGTCTTCATATTATTAATATTTTAATATATTCTTATTATTTTTAAGAAAAAATTTTTCTCTTCTTTCTCTTTTTTTTATGTAAAAAGTGGCACAAAAATATAATATAACTTTGTTGAGTTAAGAATAGTCTAAATAGTCTAAATTACGAAACTTTGTAGTAGAATATACTTCCATATTTCTCAATTATGTTGTCCGAAAAGATGATATTTCTATATATAAATTATAATATACAGAGCGTTTGATTCCCAATGGTACCGCTTGTGTGCAAGAAGAGCGGATCAAATTCAGCAGGAAAATCCTCTACCATTTTGCGATTTTCGCAATTAGTAACGAGTTATTAATTATTCAATATCGTAGAATGAGCGCGTAGGGCTCGACTAGGTCATCCAATGCAAGCATGCGGCGAGGTGCAGAAAGTTGGTAGAAACGCGACGAGATATTTAGATGCGAAATCTACAAATGACAGAACATCTGCTTATAGCACATCTTTCGACGAACATTTCAAACGCGTGTTGGACGATTGCACTTCGCCGTGCGATTGCACTTGATCGATGCGGATACACGCTCACTTTACGATCTTGAATAATTAATAACTCGTTATTAATTGCGAAATCGTAAAATGGTAGAGGAGCTTTCCTGCTTAGTTTGACCCTCTATTCTAGTTTCTATCTGCAGCCGCACAAGCGGCGTAGTATTACAAATTAGACACCTTGCATATAAATTATACAAGAATGACTTCGAAAAAAAAAATTATCAATATGACTTTGATTTGACTTAAAATTAAATCGTAATGCTAATTCATCAAAATTTTCTACTTAATATTTTATCGTGACTTATATAAATCGTAAATCTATTTATAGAGAAATTTTCCTTGTTAACTCATCGTAAGTAAATTTATTTGTATCTTCTATTTTACTTGTACCTAAAAAGCAAAACGCGAAATCAATCATCAGGATGAATTTTAGGTAATCTTTTATGACCAAGCGGTATAGACTACTTTGCAAACTCAAAATTTAATTACATCATTGTTATTTTGTAACATATTTATCTCTATAAATATAGAGATTAATTAATTAAAAATCTTTATTTGTATTTATATCATTTGGCAAATGTTTTACATTTGTTATTATATTAAAAATCAAAGATTTTT